GGGGCGGGGCTCCCGGGGGGCTAGGGCCCGGTAGCGGGCGGCGGGCGAGCGCTGGGGCGGCGTCATGTCCTCCGAGGTGGCCGCGCGCCGCGACGCCAAGAAGCTGGTGCGCTCCCCCAGCGGCCTGCGTATGGTGCCAGAGCACCGCGCCTTCGGCAGCCCGTTCGGCCTAGAGGAGCCGCAGTGGGTCCCGGACAAGGAGGTAGGTCGCGGACACCCGTCAGCCCCGGGACCGGGTCCGCGCCCCCTGTCCCCTCCCCGTGCCCCCGAACCTCCCGGCGTCCGCGCCCCGCGTCGGCTCCCCGGGCCCGCCCTGCCTCCCCGACGCCCCTCCGCAGCCCGACCCGCTCTCCGCTCCCCGCGCACCCCGGCCCCGGAACTGCCTCCTCCGGCCCCTCTGTCCTCCCCAACCCCAAACCCGGCCGCCCTCGGGACCCCTGCTCCGCGCCCTAGCGGAGCCCCCGGGCTCCAGCCGTCCCGGGCCACGGGTACTGTGCCTGGCCTGGTTCCCTTTCGCGGGGCCCCCAGTCTACCCCGCTCTTAAGAAACTGCCCCCCGAGGTTCCTGTGACCCCTCACAGATCTCCCTTCCTGATACGACCCGGGCTTTGCCCAGCTGCGAGGTCATCTGTGGATTCCGCCACATCCATTGGTCGAGCTGCTGGGCTGGAACCTTTGATACAGTTGCGACCCCCTCCCGCGAGGGAGAGAGGAGGCCCGTGTTTGTTTGTTTATAATCAGCGCTCTGTGTAGGGGACTCTCGCTGTGTGGATTGCCTGGCGGTGGTGTCTGAGGGAGTCTTGGGGGTGAGTATGCGTGTCCAGGTGGGGCGTCTGGAGGGCGTCCTGCCTGGGGAGCTGCACCTGCGCCCAGAAGTGAGGGGCGGGGTGGGGCGTGAGCTCTCCCGTGGGTGGGGTGGGGGCGGAACCTCTGAAGGCCCTTTTGTGCTGTGCCACAGGGTTTGGACTGGATCCCATAAGCCGGTTATTCTCAGCTATGCTAAGCCAGGCGGAAAAACTTACCGCATTCCTGTAAATCACAGACGTCCCAGAGACATAAAAGTAGCACGATTTTTTAAAAAAAATTTTTTTTACGCGGGCCTCTCACTGTCGTGGCCTCTCCCGTTGCGGAGCACAGGCTCCGGACGCGCAGGCTCAGCGGCCATGGCTCACGGGCCCAGCCGCTCCGCGGCATGTGGGATCCTCCCGGGGCACGAACCCGTGTCCCCTGCATCGGCAGGCGGACTCTCAACCACTGCGCCACCAGGGAAGCCCAGTAGCACGATTTTTGAAAATGCTTTAAGTTGCATCTCCTTCCAGCATTCTGATTGACCACTTTTCCTTCCTCCCCGTAGAATCACGGTTGCAGGCGGCACGTTTTTTTTGCAGGGAGAGGCGAAGGGGGGGATGCGATCAGGTGTTTTCAGGGCACTGGCGGTGAAGCGACCAGAGCTCGGAGGGGCGGTTGGGCCAACCATGGGGAGATCTCAGCGCCGTCCTGCCAGGGCTGCCCTTTCTTCCCATCTCCTGGTCACCGAGTCCCTGCAGGTCAGTGCACAGAGAGGGCGAGATGTTGGCGCGCAGGCGGGTCACTGAGCTGGCCCAGGCCACGTCCTCCCTTCCTCTTGGGTTTCTGGTCGCCCTGTCTGTGCTCTTTCTCTTCTGCATTTTTCCTCCTGGCGTTTGCAGTCTTTGAAATCACAGAACGTACCTTTTCTCGCGTGGTCTCCTTGGTTAGTGCTGTTAAAAGGTGATTAAAGAGAAAAAAGGTAATATCACGACTCTCATACTCCTAAGTGAATGCATGTTCCGGAGCTCTTTTAACTGCATCAGTGAGGGAGCCGGGCAGGTGTTATCAAGGTTCGAAGAGAAGTTAGAACCGCACAGCCTGACCTGGAAGGAGGCAGGTGAGGGCAGGAGCTAGAGGCGAGTTGGTCTATTCCACGGCGGGGGAGGGGAGCTGGGACAGGGACATACTGTGTCTGCAGCATCTCCACTTCACTGAGTGGGCACCAAGCGTGTCCTCGAGGCCAGGTCAGAGTGTCAGTCTTTTTCCACTGTTGTCCCCCGAGGACCCTCTTTAGACATTTTTTCCCCTGATTGATCCCCGATGAAATGCTCACAGCAGGGATATGTCCACCTCCTTAGGGACCGTGTGTGCGGGAGAACACCCCTCTGGACAATGTGCAGTTTGCCCCTGCAGCCCGCGAGCTGCTCTTCAGTTAACCTCTGGGTGTCCCCTGCCAGCCCTCTTCAGGGCCCCTTGCTCTTTGCTGGAATGATTGTTTCGCAGGTTGTACTGCATGTGTTGTCTTTCTTTGCAGGTCTGGTGTTGAGGTGCGTCTGGGGCCCTGCCCGCCTGTCTGGGGGCTCTCGGGAAAGCGATCAGGGTGGGTGGGAGTGCTGGGATCAGCGTGGCACTCCTTCCTGTAACGGAAGTTTCGTTCTCGTGTTAGAAGGATGGCGGGGTGCCTTCCAGAAACACGCCCCCAGTTTGCCATCTGAGCAGCCAAAGAAGGTCCTAGAGGCGGAGGGAGCTCAGAGCGGGGAGGAAGCCTCCAAGTGACCGTGGACAGTTTCTCCTCTGACTTTGAGAAAGTGCATGTTGAAATGTACTGGGGAATGTCCCAGAGTCCAGAAGTGACCAAAGGAAGTGTCGGGAGGAAAAGAAACTTGGAGTGGGGCAGTTTGGGCTGGGAGCGTCGGGACCAAGTCTGGCCTTGGTTGCAGTGGCTTTGCCCTGCTGCTTGCTCGGCTTGGCGGCACTCGGCCTGCCCAGTGCCTCTGGGACCCACGACCCTGGTGTGTGGGGAGGGGACTCAAGCGTGGAGATACCAGTGCTGAGAAGTAGGTTTACTTGTGGTTTGGGATGGGTGGTGGCGGGGCATAGGTGGAGCATGGCAGGGGGCGACATGCTGTCCTCAGCTTCACCCACCCCTGCACTCAGCTGTGGGTGGATGAGTGTCACGGTTTTGTGCAGCCGTCATGTGTTCTTCGTCCCGGCTGTCTTCTGCTGGGTCCATCAGAGGCCAACCTGTTGCCCATCTATCAACTCTTTGTTCTTTTCTTTTAAATTTATTTACATGTGGTTTTCTCATTGTGTTGCCATTATCAAAGTGGGATTCATTTTTTTAAATAATTAATTAATTAATTTTTGGCTGCATTGGGTCTTCGTTGCGGTGCGCGGACTCTAGGCGTGTGGGCTCAGTAGTTGTGGCATGTGGGCTCAGTAGTTGTGGCTTGTGGGCTCAGTAGTTGTGGCTCGTGGGCTCAGTGGTTGTGGCTCGTGGGCTCTGGAGCGCAGGCTCAGTAGTTGTGGCACAAGGGCTTAGCTGCTCCGCAGCATGTGGGATCTTCCTGGACCAGGGCTCAAACCCGTGTCCCCTGCATTGGCAGGCAGGTTCTTAACCACTGCACCACCAAGGAAGCCCTATCAACTCTTTACTCAGTGCCTGACCCTGTGCCAGCTTGGTAGCTGGGGCCCACAGGGGCATCCCTTACAGATGTTGGAAAACATCTGTGGGCATGTGGGTACATCTGTAGCTCTCAGCTTCTCAGAGGGGTTCCTGCCCCAGAAATAACTGAGACTCTCTTTCCTGGTGTGTCTGTGCCCCTGGGAGCTTGTGAGGTGGGGAGGCAGTGGCGGGACAAGGAGGGCCTGGGAATAGCTTGTGCTTCGTGTGGCTGCCGTCCGAGTGTCCCATGACCAGGATAGTGGCCTTAGGGGTGGGCTGTCTGGGCACACAGCCATAAGGACTTGCTACAAGTAGCCCAAAATACTGAATTTTATTGTTAGAATCCATGCAGTTTTGCATCCCCTTTCTTCCTGTCCTGGGCGCTGGGTATAGCCAGTGATGACAATGGCTCTGCACTGTCACTGATGTCAGATGCTCTGCAGATGCAGAACCGGGGAGGAGAGAGCACAAGTGTGTCAAACAAAAACAAGGTGAGGAGAGATTTGTGTCCCACAGGGTCACTGTGGGGGGAGGTCCGGCCCAGGGCCCTGTGAGCTCTCCAAGGGCAGGTGGCAGGGGCTTGCTCCATGGGAGGGGCAGCCCAGGCTAGGAGGGAATGGGGTGGGAGGGGCAGGTGGTGTGATCTGGCAGCGGATCAGGGGGTGCATCACCCCAGGACAGCCTGTCTCAGGCTACGGGGTGGGTCAGAGTTCAAGGCCCTGAAGGAAGGAGAGATTAATGAAGGTTTTACCAAGTCCAGTTCGTGGGCGCTTTGTTCCGATGGATGTGTCAGCCAGTCCCATCTGCAGTCCGCGTGTGGCTTGTGGTGGGTGGACAGGGGTGTCTGTTAGTCTTCTCTAGGGCAAGAGGGGAGGGGGCCCTTTGCAGGACGTGTTCCCAGAGCACTGTGGGCGGCGTCCCCGGTCTCTGGTCTCGTGGCCTCCGGGATCCCAGGCGGGTCCCCGTGGTCAGGAGCCAGGAGAGCTGCCCACGGCCGCTCAGGCCGGCGGGGTGCTGCTGCCAGTGTTGGGAGAAGGCGGGTTCCTGGCCGTCCTGCAGGACACGGGCAGTGGCAGCCTCTCCTTCCTGGGATGTGGTGTCTGCACCTGCTGCTCCCTGTTTGATGGCTCTGGGCTTTGTCCTTGGAGGTGTTCTGTCCCTGCCGCTCCTTCCCTCAGGTGCCCCACCCACCCCCGTGAAAGCATCTGTTGTCAAATTCGTCTCGTTCCCGGGGCTGCTGTGTGTCTGCTCTTCGTCCCGTGAGCTGGTTTCTAACATCTTATCGGTTCCCTCATTAGTTAATGAGTTAAATCTTTTTTAAAAAATTTATTTTAATTAATTAATTTTTGGCTGCGTTGGGTCTTTGTTGCTGTGCACGGACTTTCTCTAGTTGCAGCGAGCGGGGGCTACTCTTCGTTGCAGTGTGTGGGCTTCTCATTGCAGTGGCTTCTCTTGTTGCAGAGCACAGGCTCTAGGCACGCGGGCTTCAGTAGCTGTGGCTCGCGGGCTCTAGAGCACAAGCTCAGTAGTTGTGGCACACGGGCTTAGCTGCCCTGCGGCATGTGGGATCTTCCCGGACCAGGGCTCGAACCCACGTCTCCTGCATTGGCAGGCGGATTCTTAACCACTGCGTCACCAGGGAAGTCCATGAGTTAAATCTTTGACATGGGTTCATTTTATATTTGTAGGAGTTATGCTTTTACTCTTTAAAAACCGTTGTCTTTCAACAAAGATACAGTAATACATGTAATTTTATAACTTATTTTTATGATTTATTTATTTTTGAGGAAGCTTTTTCTTTTTAATTTATTTATTTTTGGCTGTGTTGGGTGTTTGTTGCTGCGGGTGGGCTTTCTCTAGTTGCGGCGAGCGGGGTCTGCTCTTCGTTGTGGTGCGCGGGCTTCTCATTGCGGTGGCTTCTCTTGTTGAGGAGCACGGCCTCTGGGAGGAGGAAGCTTTTTAAAAAAAAAATTTATTTATTTATTTGCTTGTTTGTTTCGGCTGTGCCGGGTCTGAGTTGCAGCATGCACGCGGGATCTAGTTCCCCAACCAGGGATCGAACCTGGGTCCCCTGTGATGGGAGCCCAGGGTCTTACCCACTGGACCACCAGGGAAGTCCCCTCGTAGCCTGAGAAACGGTCTAGCATGTGAGCCAGGCGCAGCCGGGCAGGCGTTGTCTCTCCCAGCGCCGCCAAGGACAGTGTGGGAGGAGGCGTGACTGTCCTTTGCCGCTCCAGACCCACCATCAGTGAGAAATTAACCACCTCTTTTTTTTGTTTGTTTGTTTTTTTTGGTTTTTTTTTGTTTCTTTTAGCGGTACGCGGGCCTCTCACCGCTGCGGCCTCTCCCGCCACGGAGCACAGGCCCCAGACGCGCAGGCCCAGCGGCCATGGCCCACGGGCCCAGCCGCTCCGCGGCATGCGAGACCCTCCCGGACCAGGGCACCCTGCATCGGCAGGGGTACTCCCAACCACTGCACCGCCAGGGAAGCCCTGTTCTTTTTATAGTAACATCTTTTTAAATACTCCTTTAAACTCTCCAAACTCTCTCTTCCGACTATTCTACTTTGAGGGGAGATGCCCTGTCGGCCGTCCTGATGCGCTGCCCTGGGCACCCCCAGGGCTCCCTGTGCTGGAGTCGGACAGCAGGTCGCCAGAGACCGCGGGTCTCCAAGCAGCCCTGTGGCCCAGCCTCTGCCCTCGGCTGCGTGCCGGGTTGGACCCCACGATCCCCGAAGGCCCCTTCTGCCCTGAAGTCTTCCATCTGGGCCTGGCTTCCTGTGGCCGTTTCTGGTTTCTCCTTTGATTGCTTGTAATCTCCTCACTTCCCCACCAGAAAGCACACCCCCAACCTCGTCTGAATTCTCCTGCGTCGGCAGGGTGGGCATGAGTCAGTTGTTGCTTTCCTGGCCTGGCGAGGGGTTGAGGCCGCTGGGCTCTGACCCTGGGGCTGCAGCCGGGAGTGCCTCGGGGTCGGGTGTTGCACTAGAGGCTGTCTGTGCCGCCCCCTGGCTCCCCTGTCCTCTCGTAGGCGTCCAGGGGACCCTGTGGAGGCCACCCTTACCACCAGCTTCCTCCCAACTGCGGGGCAGGAGTCCTGGGGGTGAGCGCAGGGGCCCTGGTGGTGGGCTGGAGGCCCCACCGTTGACACAGTTTCACTCGAGGACGAGGACGGCCCTGCTGGTCCTACCGCCCGTCCTGGCGGGTAGGGAGCGGCCTGGGGCAGCCCACGGAGGATCAGGCAGCATCTGCTTGTGTGTCTGTGTCTCTGTGCCTGTCTGCGTGTGCTGTGTGTGTCTGTGCCTTAACCTACACCTCGCACGCAGGGCCCTCACTGAGCTCCTGTGCGTCCCGGTTCTCCCTTGCAAGTGTGCCTGTCTGTGATGCCAGCCCCAGCCCACCCTAGCGATGCCGCAGTGACACAGGCCTGGGTGCGACGTGGTCTGCGAGGCTGGAACCCAGGCAGCTTTTGTCACACATGGTGCAGGTGGGTTGCTCACACCTGGTTTCTGGACTCTGTCTCCCCAGACAGTGGTTTCCCAGAACCCCAGAGCCTCTGGGTCCAGGTCAGGTGCACGGGGCCCAGTGCTGGGCCTCGGCCTGGGCTTTTCATTTCCTTTCGATGCAGCTGGTTTATCAGACAAGGTGTGAGTTCTTTGGTGGTAATTTTACTCTCATGTCTTCACCAGTTGCTTTGTTTCCTTATTTAATTCTGTTTTCATATCAAATTGTTTTCTGGATAACTTTAAAATCATCTTTTATATAATCCACAGGAAACTTACTTTATTTAAAAGCCTGTAAGTTTTCTGAATAACCTCGTTGGTTATTTAGATTAATACAAAACTTCTAGATCACTAATGTTTTTAAGGGAGGGAATTTTATTTATTTAAAAAATTTATTTTATTTATTTATTTTTGGCTGCGTTGGATCTTCGTTGCTGCGCGCGGTCTTTCTCTAGTTGCGGCGAGCAGGGGCTGTTCTTCATTGTAGTGCGCAGGCTTCTCATTACGGTGGCTTCTCTTGTTGCAGAGCACGGGCTCTAGGCACGCAGGCTTCAGTAGTTGTGGCATGCAGGCTCAGTAGTTGTGGCGTGTGGGCTCAGTAGTTGTGGCATGTGGGCTCAGTAGTTGTGGCTCATGGGCTCTAGAGCTCAGACTCAGTAGTTGTGGCACATGAGCTCAGTAGTTGTGGCTCAGGGGCTCTAGAGCGCAGGCTCAGTAGTTGTGGTACATGGGCTTAGTAGTTGTGACATGTACAGTCAGTAGTTGTGGCTCACGGGCTCTGGAGCACAGGCTCAGTATTTGTGGCCCACGGGCTTCGTTGCTTCGCAGCATGTGGGATCTTCCCGGACCAGGGCTCAAAGCCTCATTCCCTGCATTGGCAGGCGGCTTCTTAGCCACTGCACCACCAGGGAAGCCCCGGGAGCAAATGTTAAATTCTGCTGTGGTCTTAGTTTAGAAATTGGTCTCTCAGTTATGTAGATGCGAGCCTCCTGGCGAGAGTGGGGCAGCCCTGGGCTCCATGTCCCCGCCGTGGGTGCAGGACACGCATAGACTCGGGAGGCAGCTTTCACACTAGAGCCTGGCCTGACGCTGGTGGTCCCGCCAGCTTTCCCCACATCCAGTGGATTCTGTGGCTGGCAGATGTGTGAGGTCACAGGAGAGCGTGGCACACAGATGCCCTGCCATGGGTGGAGGCCCGAGGGCCAAACACACGGAACATTCCAGAACTGACAGCGAGAGGCAGTGGCAGGGACTGGTGGAAGCAGCTGCGCTGTGATTAGCCGGCTCGTGCCTGAAGCCGGCAGGGACTCTGTGGATGGTTCTGGAGGGCCAAGGTGGGCCAGGCCCTGTGTCCCAGCCCAGAAAGCAGCATAAGAGCAAAGAGAAAATAAGGAAACATCAATCATGGGATCTCAGAACGCTTAGACACCAGCCCAGGGTGGGGCCGTGGCCGCGTAGAGCTGGGTGGGCTCGGGCCAGCCTGGACGCCTGCCCTCCCACGGAGAAGGGCAACACTGCGTGTGGATGCCAGGCTCCTTCCATAAGCTTCCTCAGGGTCCCGGCCCCATGGTGGGCCCTGGCACCTGCTGTGCATTTCCTCAGAGCAACAGACGCGGCTGCAGGCGTAGGCCTGGGGGCGGGGGGGTGGGGTGGGGTGGGTGCAGAGCAGCGGTCAAGGTCAAGCACTGCGTTGGCAGAACGGGGAGGATGGGGAACAAAGCCCGGGCGGCAAGTGGGTTCTGGCTGCCCAGATTGAAGCCAGGCAGTGAGGACGAAGGGCAGGACACTGGGGTCAGGCCGTGTTGGCCAGGACTGACTGGGGACTGGCTGGGTTCGGATCGCGTGGTGGTCAGGGTGTCTGGCTCCCTGACAGTGGCATTTTGCTGTCACCGTGTCATTGGGGTGAGGTGGCACATGTGTCCAGCAGCAGCTTTTCCACCGTGGAGGCTGAGCCTTGGTGGTGCGGGGACAGCCTGTCTGCATTGGTGCCAGGATGGGAAGAAGCCCTCGCTCTGTCAGATAAGAGGTCTGAGGTCCTCTGCGTGGTTGGTTGGTTTGGTGATAATGTGGCCGTTTCCGGCCCTGGACCTCGGCCTGCCCCTGGAGCACTGTCCCCAGCCTCCCCGCTGAGCCCCGGGCATTTGGGGCTGGTAGCACCCTTGCTAGCTGGACGCTGCCCCAGCTCAGCAGACCCACTGCGCTTCTCCACGCGGGGACCCGGTGTAGATCACTTTCTGCTGCGGCATCGCATCATCTCACAGCCGATCCTGGGTTCTGGTGACAGGGCGGGGCTCCCTGAGGAGCTGACCGCGTGGCCTCGGCAGCCGGGTCCTGATGCCCTGTCGCCTTCTCTCCTAGTGCCCGAGGTGCATGCAGTGCGACACCAAGTTTGACTTCCTCACCAGGAAGGTGAGCTGCGGTGGGGCGGGAGGGTGGGGGGGGGGGGGGGGGTGGGAGTGGGCGCTGTCTGTCGCGGAGCCCCGGCGACAGTGGCAGCCTGGTCAGTAGGCAGGGTTCCGGCCGCTGGGAAACCGTTGGGACCCTCGAGGCATCTGGTCGTGGATGCCGGTGGCGTGGGTCTCCGGGGGTCCTCACTGCCTGCCCTGCGTCTGCAGCACCACTGTCGCCGGTGTGGGAAGTGCTTCTGCGACAAGTGCTGCAGCCAGAAGGTGGCGCTGCGGCGCATGTGCTTCGTGGACCCCGTGCGGCAGTGCGCCGAGTGCGCCCTGGTGTCCCACCGGGAGGCCGAGTTCTACGACAAGCAGCTCAAGCTGCTCCTGAGTGGTGAGCACCTGGGGCCTTGTGTCTGTCGTGTGGTGGCTGCGATGCTGTGACGCCCTGCCTGGCCTCTGTCTCTGCAGGGCGCCTGCTGCAGGCTTGGGACCACTGGTTGGGACTCCAGGTGCGGCCCCCGCCGTCCTGGGACATGGTGGTGGTGAGAGGGCAGCTCTCTCCCCGTGCCTGCTGCCCCCTCCCCCTGCCTGCTGCCCCCTCCCCCTGCCTGCTGCCCTTCCCCGTGCCTGCTGCCCCCTCCCGGGCCTTGGCAGCCTAGCCCCGCCCCACCCTGGCCTGTGGGCCCCCTCCCCCTCCCCCTCCTGGCAGCAGGGCGGGTGGTGCTGCCCAGTGGCCCCTGAGCACTGGGGGAGGGTCGGCGCCCTGTGATCCAGGCCCTTGGGAGGTAAGGTCCCTGGGAGCCCCAGGCAGCGCCTTTTATTTCCGCTGTTGAATCCCAACCCCGTCACGGCCTTTCCACCTCAGCTGAGGGCCCCACAGAACAGAGCTGCCACCTGTCTTGCTTTCCTTTTGTCCTCTGTGCGTGTCCCCTGGTGGGCTGGCCTGGAAGGGGAGGTGAGAAGGGAGCTACCGGGTCCTCATGTCTGGTTTTCATCCCCAGGAGCCACCTTCCTGGTAACTTTTGGAAACTCGGAGAAGCCAGACACGATGGTCTGTCGTCTTTCCAGCAACCAGAGGTAAAAGTGGGTGCTGCGCGGCACTGACGCTCTGTTGCTCCGAGCCTGAAGTGACGTGGTGTGGACACCCTTTGTTTGCTGCAGGTACCTGCTTCTGGACGGGGACAATCGCCACGAGGTCGAGGTCACGCGCATTGCCGCCGTGCAGATGCTCACGGAAGGCTTCCCTCCTGGAGGTGAGTGCCGTGTGGCACCGGCCTGGGTGACTCTCGAGGTCTGTGGGCCGTCCCGCTCAGCCGTGGCAGGGGCTTGTGTTTAGTGAGTGGCTGTAGGAGCTCACCAGAATGGGGCTTAACGTGTAAAACAAGCGGGGACTCTGCCCTTCTGTACGTTTCCCTTCCTGTCGTACTCGGGTCAGGGGTAAGGCTCCGGCGGCAGCTGGCATCGGCCCGATTCCCCGATGCCTGGAGCGTTGCCCGCCCAGCACCACAGCCCCCAGGGTCTGCGGGGATGACCCTCCTCCTGGAGCTTGCGGAGCGCTTAGCCTATTCTGGATCTTTCCACCTAAACTTCCGCACTTCAGCAGCTGTCCTTCCACGGAAGTGGAGTTGGTGTTCCGCGTTGGGCGCAGTGCGCTGAAGAAACCCACGTGACTTAGTCCGTCTTGCTTTCTGTTTTCTGATCGGCTCTTGCTTGTTCTTCTCTCCTTCCTGCCTACCTTCTTGACGTAGAAAAAGACATGCACACTTATACCAGCCTCCCGGGGAGCCAGCCCGTCTCTGAAGGTCAGCTCCCTGCTCCCCGCCGCTCTCCCTGCCCCGGCGCCGGGCTGCGTCTCCTTCAGACCCTGCTGTGTGCTGGGGTCCACGCCGAGGCTCTCTGTGAAACACACATTCCCTTCTTTTGGTTGATTTGAAGGACAGTTGGGTCTAAGACGGGCAGACAAAGCATGAATGAAGCAATCTATCTCATTTGCTCAGTTCCGCGCTCCCAAGGGGAGCCCTACGCAGTGTTTCCTAACGGCCCCTGGGCATCCTCCCCTGGGCATCCACTGGGCCTAAGCGGGCCACGCGAGGGGGGCGCGGGCGGCGGCCCTCCCCCGCGCGCTCCTGTCCCTCCGCAGCGCGCTCGCTCCCGTGTTCTCTCGTAGGAGCCTCCCTGCGCTCCTGGGCCCGCAGGTGGCGAGGGGAGCGGGCCGGCGCAGCGTTTGCCGCCCCCCCCC